GTGCTGTTAAAGTTAATGTTATTATCAATGTGTATACATTAATTGACATGCATCAAGTATTGACACGTTTCTGCTTTCAAACATCAGACTATAATTATATATAATAAAGTACTATAATATATATAATAAGTAAAACGAAAAGGTGGGCCTATTGAGGGCAGCGGTGCCAATCTGTCGTATACTGTTACGACTGATTGGCACCTCTGCGGTCGCCGTCAGCTTGTCACCACGACAGATTGGCACCACTCATTTCTCGAGGTTCCAATCTGTCGTGTACTGTTACGACTGATTGGCACCTCTGCGGCAGCCGTCAGCTTGGCACCACGACAGATTGGGACCACCCCTTTCTCCAGGTTCCAATCTGTCGTGTACTGTTACGACTGATTGGCACCTCTAGGAGCGGTGCCAATCTGTCGCGGTGCCAATCTGACGCGGTGCCAATTAGACGCGTACCCGTGATAACACAACAATGGTAGTGAATGGCCCGACGGCACGAGTCCTCTATTATGGCACGGCGTGAGTCAATAGAGCTGATGCACCGATAGTGGGCAAAGTGCAATGGCGCTCAAATGCCGTTCGTTACGAAAAAAACACTCCCTTAGCAGCAATCCTGCATTTAGTGAACTCCATTTCACTCTCAGACCTCTACATGGGCATAGGGCAAATCCTCCAAAAACAAGAATTTGGACCTTTTCGGTTAATTTAGGTACTATCACTACCGTATATAGTTTGTAAGATATGTAACAATACACGTTTTAATTTATGCATTGGTTCTGATCTATCCACAGAGAAGTAATTGCAACCTAACATAAAATAACTTTATAATGAATAATTAGAATCTCTACCTACAAAAAACATGAGTGAACCCACAGAAAATGAACTTTTTGAAATAATCTGATTAGGCTTGTCCTAGTTCATAATGTGTACATCAAACTAAAGCATGCAAGAAATATTAAATTAGATGATTATTTATGTAGGTATTCTCAATCAAAAGCAACAAAACTTCGCAAAGTCTATGCAGGACTGAAAAACTTTGAAAGAAGACGTGTCATTTATAAAAGAACAAGTACCGGTGCCGGTAACTTAGAACAACTAGCTAAGTGAAACTGTTAATTTTCAAATTTCAATGAAAGGTCTTCATGCAAGGGAGTCAATAAAAGCAAAACCAATGGTTCTTCTGCTACAAAAGGAAATTTTTCGGAGCAAACATTCCGTATAGAATTTTACGGCACAAATTAGAAATGTGAAGAAAATTCAAGGTATGACGACGATAGTACAATATGATTCCAAATAATGTAGACGTAGGTATTCTCCTTTAAAGTCGGTAGCATACAGTAGTAAATTCACAAATAGATATGTGCGATTATTGAAACTCAGTTCAACTCTTTGAATTTTTATATTCCACGGGAGAGATTTTAAATGTAAAAAATAACTTGTCTACAATACTCTTTCTAATCAAGTCATTTTGCAGATAAAAGCTATTACATTCCAGTAACAAGAGGGTGAAATTCACAAACAGTCCTTTCACTTATTTGCAAACAGATGATTGTCCATCTCGCCAGATCAGCTGACTCGCGCTCCAGCGAAACATTTAATTGATGGAGATCGAATTGCATTTAATGGTTCGACTTTCCTGAGTCCATTAACGCTTCTCGGGTGCGAAAACGAAATTAAATCAAAGGCACGCGTAGTGGCCAGTCGACCGTGCAGATATGCTACATTTGTTTGGAACTGGAAGTGTGAATACTGTAAATATACCATTATACTTTATTTTATGATACCAATTTAATAATCTATATTAATAGGCTGGCATGTTTCTTTAAAATCTTTTTTCCCAGCTCGTGTGCATCGTAGGGAAAATCTACGAATACTGTTAAATAGATTTTTTTCCTGTGGTGTGTAGAATCCCTTTATAAATTAAAATAGGATCACAAATAAGCACAAATAATTAATTCAAAATGTAAGAAAATTACCATGGGTCTTATGGGTTTCCATGATGGTGGCGAAATATCAAAGAAGTATAAACAGAAAATAATAAAGAAATTCCAATCACATATTTTATTTACAGCATGGGGTAAAATATAGAAGAAGTCTGTACATTACATATTTTTGGTAGAGTTCTCGACCACTGGACGTTCCCTAGTATAATAGATTACCTACTTGTTTCCAATAAAAAAGTTTGGTGTATTACGTTTTACAGTAGATAGTATAATATTGTTCACTGATTGTAAGTCCGTCTACTAATATGGATTATATTAGTCTGAAAGTTTAAATAGTAACACGTTGGATCAGATTACATAAATCTAAAATATGTTTACTAGTCGTGGAAATGTCCAGATTAAACCCCTTAAAAATCGTTCATTCTTCGCTTATGGGTACGATAAGTTTCGGAACGAATCAACTACTTCAGTCCGACCTGTATGCTCAATACAACTTTGAATAGCATCGTTGTTGTTTTAAATCAGTTACCCTATCCCTACATATAAAGTCAAACACATTAAATTAAAATAAAAACTTTTTATGTGACATACGCTAATATGTTATACATTCCCTGAGCATAAACGGAAACAATGTCAACATACGAGCAGAAACGGACAGATTGTTACTATTGGAATTGCTGACAGGCATTGTTGATCCGATATTTAGTCAATATTGGAGTTCCAGGGCGGTTGCCAATGGTTTCAGAGTTTATAGATTATAATCTGATTTTATAGATTACATAATGCTATTGCAATGATTTTATACCGTCCACATATGATAAACAATCACTTCTGGTCTTCTTCTTCTTCGTGACATTCCAGTCCAGTGAGCTGAACCCCTACTGGACTGAGGCTTTGTTAGGACTTTGTCCTCTTTAGAGGTTTGACCATTGACAATGTAAGTCAGTGGTTTGACACAACAATCAACAGTTGCCACAGACCCATGGATTGGGTATGAGTTTTAAAAGGGCAAAGTTACGTTTGAGTTACCAATTACGTTCTTAGAATGTAAATTCCCACAATTATCCAGGGGGATCCTCATGAGAAATCTTAATTTTCCCTCATCAACAAAAAAATTCTTCGCTTCTGATGATCTGCAAAGGCAATAAAATCCTTTTCTTGATCTTAATCAAAATCATTAAGTAGATGAAATTAAAAAAACCTTTAAATCTCTCCATTCAGCTACTATAAACTAGCACAGTCAACGATGTGATCATTGATGCATCATCATTGTTTATGATGAAAAGTTCCTACAGTGATTTGTGACTACTGTAACGTTGTCAACCCATAAACTACATTGGTTTACGATCAGAAAGGACGCAAAATGCCGCTTCTGCCTATGGATGATACAGGCTCGCATTATTTAATGCTAAGTTTGGAAACTAATTTACAAAAACCAGTATTGTGATTGTATAACTCAACACTTTGTTCTATGATATAGCCTAGCTAAGACATCACGGGAGTATCCCATTTTAATGCATCATATTCTGAACATATTCCTGGTCAATGAAACAACTAGTCTTTGAAACAAAGCTACACAGATCATTTCACTCCATTTCTACATTAATTGGTACGATTAACATATTTAAGATATTGTTTAATATATTTAAACAAAATCCTCGTTGATAAAACAACTACTGTACAGTATGCAACGCATCAGCTTTAGGAAACACAACTAATCATAAACTCAATCTCTAGGCTACTGAAAACGTAGCTATCGACATTGATAAATCGACGTTCTGCTCCGCGGCGAAAGCTTTCTCACATCGGAAATAGAGACATTTAGCACCCCTGAGTTGAATTGGCATCAAGAAAATACGGTAAGTTTGTCTATGTCGTCACAAGTTAAATTAAAACTCTTTCCTGGCAGTACTCTCATAAAATGGATTCATCAAATGATGTCATTTGAGTACATATGTCGAGCGAGATCCTACTTGTGGTTTCGGTGGTTTTAAGCAATTTTGTGAGTGGCTGAGAATGAACAATGACACTGAAAAACATCAAAACACGGGCAAGCTTGACATACACATTCTTGTTAGTAATGTAACTTAGATAATAAAAAAAATGTACATAACAAACGATCAAACCATCCTTTTCCTAATTCCTCCAAAACAAGTCAGTTTTCGCAAAAAACCACGTCAATGCTCGTTTACATGTAAGAAAACAATGGTATTAAACAATGACACAAGTTGACGCTATTAAGATAGCCTACAGTATCAAAACAGTATAGCCTAATGTTGGTTGGTTATCGAATAGCTAGGTAACACGAAATACTAGACCAATGTAAAAATCAACACACATACTGAATGATCTCCACATTATAAACTAATAAGGGGTGACACTTTAAATACAGTAATAAATTCACTATAAAACGCAACAATAATATTATTCTGGTCGGGACATTAGAAAAATCCTAAAATAAATCGGGTGGTACAAATACATTGGGGGTTTCTTCACCTTTTCGCAAAACTTCGCCCCGAATCCCCCGATTCTTAGACGGATACCAAGCCTATTTGATAATAACGGTCTTGGTACAAACCAATTATTTTTCAAAATAAGAAACCAAAAGCAATTTTTACATTCTTGAATGTTTACATTGTACAATACAAAACGAATACGGTAGCTCAATCACTAAAATTCTGAGATCAACATAGTTTTTATCAAAAAGTATGTGTGATGTAATTTAGTTGTTGTGTCATTGTACTTTAGCAGTCATTCTCGGTATTTACCATAGGTACTCTTTTTTGTACACTTTTTTGTCCTAGGACGCCAGGCAGGAGTCCGGTATTGTTTTTCACATTACTAGCTAGACCTTTTTTTGTACACTAGGAAGTAGCTTTGTTAAAGAGAACAGAAAAATATAAACACCTATCCATTCAACTTGCATGTAAACACTTCTTTTTAGAAATGATCAAATAAAATCTAAGCGTTGACATGGTATCTAAAAGTGCTTGTACACCTAAATAGATAGACTTGTAACTAACAACTAACACAGTTTCTACAACAATTTCAAAAACCAACCTTGTCAGAGAAAGACGGGGTCTTTTCCGAGAAGGGACGCCTTACGACCAGATGGCCTTACACACACTACATCCAATGACACGAGCACGACACAAACCTAAACATAGACAGCGACGACGCACGAAACGAACACAACAACTACAGTAACACAATCAGTGTAATCATAACTGTCAGGCGCACAATCAGTACACAACACTCAGTGATGAAACTTCGCGAAACAATCGAACAAGGACCTCCCGTGAGCAGACACTGGCGTCGACTGAAGCGCTGCTGACGACGACGCAGCGTAGCGGAGGTTTTTGGAACTACGACACTCACTGCACCGTTTACGCGTCCATTGAATGAACTCAGGACTATTTTGATTGGGATTTAAAAGTTTAAATAGCCGTCGTAATTAAGCCACGACGGATTTTGTCCCATTATTTATTTTGTTATCCATATGCAAGAAAAAATAACAGTGAATAGTTAAAACATATGTTTTTAAGAGAAATCTGTTGGGGAAATGTTATAGAACTAGGGTTGCTTTCAGAGAGGTGAAAGCCAGTTGAGCGGAACAAACGTGATTTGATATTTGTATAAGTAACTAAATGTAAAAAGGTCAATAGATTTATTTACTAATGCTGGTTTTAAAGATTAAAATTATAATAACTCAAATTTACCTCTTCGAGAAGTGCATTATGGTAGTTTTGACCAGGAAAATATTACAGTAGTTGGAATCTGATATTAACATCCAAAAAGTAAAGTATAAAAATGAGAAAGGTAATTTAACATTCAAATGCAACTGTAGCCTACAACAAAAAAACATTGGGCTACATTTTTCACCCTTACAATCGGTTAAAGTATTTAAGTATAAAAAAAAACAGTAACTATAAAAAACGAGCATTAAAGTATAACAACAGGAGGGGAAATTTGACATTTAAATTCAACCGTGCAACATAAAATGGCTTAAATGTAGGCCTAAACATAAGTAATAAGTAAACATCGCATTCAGCTGATTTAAGTGAAAACAGAATAATATAATAAGTAGGGAAGACATGCCTTAAATATACAATGTAGATAATATAATTAGAAATTAGTAGCCTACTTCTGGACAGGCCTAGACAATTATCCATACCGTGGTTAAAAGTGTACTTCTATAAGCCCAAGTTTACTTATCAACGGTTGTAACTGGACGTATGTATAGTCCGTGGCTTGGCAATCAAATAACAGTATTTGTATAGGATGGGCTACTGTTATCAACATTTGAAATAACTGAATTGTTACCAAATTACTGTTTCACAAAATGCAGATTCCATTTTCAGCCGAGCCATTAAAATGAGGGTTTGCCGAACAATTATTAATATTACAGAATAGTATATAATGATATACAACTTTTCACATTCCATAATTATATGTTAGTTTTGCTATGGTCAAAGGTACAAATCCAAATGTTCTCTTTTCTTTTGGTCAGTATGTAATAATTTGCTAGAATCATTGACTTTATATAAAGTCAAAGCTAGAATACTGTAGATGGTTTGTTAAGTTAAGACCATATGCAAGCATTTTTGAAATCGTTTCCCCGTTTAACCTTAACCAACTATTCCATTCCAAAAGTTAAAAAATTATATGGTGCAACACAAATAAACAACCCGATCGCCTACCTATAACCTACACTATACCATCCTAATCTAACCTTACTTCAAAACACTTAATGTAGTCACGAATACTCATAAACCCCGACCTACCTCCCAACATGCCTAAATCAGTGTTCAATCTGCGTTTTATCAATAAGTGTAATAACTTACTGTACCGTCGATGTAATTAAACATAATATAACCTATGAGGTATTATCGGATTAAATACCGATTTCGATGCGGTTCGATATATCGCTTATTAAATCCTGATTTCTAACATTGGCTGTTTCTAATCAGCTGGCAACACAAATAGGTTCCCAAGAAAGTAGTCACCGGTCCGTATCCCTCCGCTCCTTGTTTATGCTCCGCGCATTGAGAAAGTAGTTCAGTATATTTTCTCGATTTTCAGTGAATTCCGGGCCTTAAAAAAATGTTTTAACGGCATTTTCTTGTTTATTAAAATCATAGGAATGGTTTAAAATCGTTTAAAAGAAAAGTATAGAAAGTTCAGAAATACCTTATGATTCTCTTGTTTACATTTTTCTTGTAAACAAAAAAACTGTCATAGCTACTTTAGTCCCATAAGCCCAATGTTAAAAATTTTAAATTTTAAGTTCGTTTTAAATTGCATTAGCATTATCTAATTGAAATTTGTTTGTTTACAAACCATCTCATTATTAGTCTAAGTAGTCTTGTTAAGTTTGGCTGAAATGTGTTCAGCCGTTATTGAGTGATGGTGTTATATTGTTTGCATTGAAGTTGATCCCAAAGAGCTTCGCTCGCTTCGCTCAATAAACACTAAATGAGCACAGGTGTTAATTTATTCTATCCGAGATCCTGTATTGCAATGATGTAAGTAAAGTTTGTAAACTTACATCTATCTTGGAATCAGCACCAAGAATGTTTCAATGTAATGGGTTTCCCGTTGCAATAAATAAATAAATAAATAAGAAAACCCCTCTATAGTTACGGCTTACGGTATAACAAAGTTCTGCTTCAAAAATAGGCTGTCGTAGAATCAAGACCAGTGGTATAGCAATGCAACACTGTGCCCTTAGGTAGGCCTATAGCCGGGAAAAATCTATTTTCGCCATAGTATTATATGTATACTATTTCGAAAATTCAACATGTGCCTTATGTTCCAAGACGTTTTTGCAAGAACTTAAAAAATAATCATAAAATTTTAGAAAAGTGAAGAACAATCGTACTAATACCATTGAGTAGTCTATATTATACCACAGACAATGGATTATTGGTCTATAGGGTATAAACTGTGATTATGCTAAACAATAATATCCAATTAGGTCTATGTCAAGTAAAAAGCAAAAGCACCCACAATAAAAACTAATGTTTGGGTAATCATTTAATTCACTTTTAGTTAACTTCTCAAAGCAGAACATTATACTGTACATCAAAATGACAAGAGTAGAAAAAGGCATTAACCAGGCGAAAAGTATCAAACATCATCAACACTAATTTTAATTTGCGTAAATCAAAATTAGCATTCTTGATTATTTAAACTATCGAAATGCATTTCTAAAAGCTGTCTGTCTTTAATAGCCTAATTAAATACTTGTTTGGTGAAGAGGTAAAACAATGGTCTTAAATGTATAGTCTAACAAAAGTTATAGCGATCTTAAAAAAGTGTTTTAACTAATCATTAGAATCAATCCATACAATTTTTGTTAATTACGTGTACATAACGTAGGCCTACCTTTACTTTGTGTTTCCGTCTCTAATAGTATTTTCGAAGTAAGCTGGCAAAGCACACACAAGTCGAAATCATCATTAACCGAATTAAAACTACTGTAATGAAGTATACAGTAAACTATCACCCGTTCACTGCACAGTCACCACAACAATACAAAGATAATAAACTTGTCACTACAGGTTTTACAGCTGGAGAGAGAAATTTCACCAGCTGATACTACAATCAGCTGACTGGCGAAAATGATTTAGTTCCTAAACTCCTCATTTACGTCATCTACGTTCTTGGCAACTTACGGCATGCTGACTTGAATGCTCTGAGGGACGCGTTGCAGAAAGTCAACAGTCCCGGAAGGTCAAATAATTTATACCTGTGCCGCTAGGTCAAAAACTACAATGTTTGCAGTGTCTGTAGATCAAAAATCCCAGTAAGTCAAATAGTACAGTCCGAGCTAAAAACGTGGTCTATGTTAAAGCAATTGACTTATTGGGAATTTGACCTAATGCAACAGCAGTTTTAATATAACGAAATAAGATAAAATATAAGTTCAGTTTCGCTGAGTCAACAGTGCCGGAAGGTCAAAAGTATAATCTGTTAAAAACAGCGATAGTCCTCTCGACGCATGACTTCAATAATTTCGTGTTTTGGTGTACCTAAAGTTGTGCTAAAATTTTGAAAATTGGCACAGAGCTTCTTGGTTAGTCCTACTCGATGACTGTTTTGTTGGAACTTTAAACTATTTACCTATCTAATTAATACAAATTGATATGTATGGTGAAATAGTTTTAAATCGTGATTTCTAGCATGAAAAAGTTAGCATGCGAGATTTTTTTTTGTTTTTGGGTTAAGGAGGTTTTGTCTGCGGCAAAGTTGTAGCCAAAAGTGTGATGCGTAAAATATATTTTTTTGATTTTTTTACAATCAGTGGTTCAATAGATAACTTGGGTTGAAGAGGACGGCAAATGTAACATTTCGCAACGCATGGAAAGAACTACATCGTACGATGCGACTGCTGAGTGGACTTTTAATTAACAGTTCTAAGAACAAGAAAAAGATGAATATACAGATCACCAGTACATTCATATTATTTATAAAACATCTTTCTGTATTACCAGCTTACATTTTTCACTTATAAGAATACATCATAAACAGGGTGTTAAAAATAAGCGGGGAGATACTTTACCTAGTAATTCCTTGGGTCAAAATAAACAGAAAATGAAGGATAACATTTTTTCCAAAATCGTTTCGTTAACCAGATATCCGCCATTTTGTATTTTTTACAAACAAATATTTATCTTTACACTTTTCCAACCGATGTTTATGAAACTTGGTATGTATCCAACTTGGTATGTAGGTAGGAGAGACCCATGTTATAAAAAAAGATTCATCTCGATTCACCCTAAAATTTCAAAATTTAACACTTAACTACAATATAATATACTTTACTACACCACAATATTTACGTATCACCATAAATCTTTAATAAAATAAAACGTTCACATTTTTAAAATCCAAAGTAAATCAATATAATCATATAATCAATATAAAAAAGTGCACTAGTACTTACTAGTGTCCAATAACAATTTGATGGATTTAACCAAAACCTTTTCTATTTAACTTATTTTCAGCTGTTAAATTTCAAACGATACGTTTTAGCTACATCATTAACATTATTATCATCATCATCGTTTGAGTTTAGGTTTGCGGCAATGTATTTTTATAATTAAAACTTTTAATTTGATACCTACCAAACTTGACCTCTGCTGCTATTAATTGACTGTATGGACTATTAATTAACAGCTGTGTCTAAGGATTACGTCGGCCTTAGTCACTAACAGGACAACAAGATCGCTCCACTCATCACACACTCAACTCCATTCATACTTGGCTTAAAATGCATACATTTGTATGGTCGCCATTTCAAAAACAGGTAAAATAGTATTAAAATTATATATGAATTTTGTCTTAGTCTTTGTGGTCCATCCCCCTTAAGGGATTAAACAGTG